CAAGACAGCTGAAGTAGAAAATGCTGATAAAAAAACTATTATAGGTTGAATCTACAGGTTTTGTGAATTTACTTTCTAAATTGTTAATGGTTATTAATTTTTTAAATACTTCAGCTGTACTTTTAGTTTCTTACTGTTAGATAATTCAGGGAGAAGGTTAGGGAGTGCTTTGTGTGCACAGGTCTTTTTTTAAGTTACTGAGTATCTGCCCTAACTGTTGAATGCCCTTGCTTCTGCTAATGTATTTGTTTTTGTAATCTGTAAACCCAGTTTGCTGAACATAAACTTAACAGCAAACACGCACTTTTTAATTTCCTTTTAAGATGGATCAATTAATGTACCCAGTTTACGATCCTTCAGCTAGTTAAGCCAATAGAAGCAAGGGGTGATGACCTCTGGTTGGAAGGGGGAGCCTCTCACATGGTCTTTGTTGCCAAGAAAGTGTTTGTGTGTATATCTGAGGTAAACAAACTAGCTCTATTTTTGCATCTTCCTGCAACATGTGTCACTGCATCCAAAATGACAAGTAAATGCTGTCTGGGCTACCTTGGTCTTTAATCTTTCTAGCTGAAATTGTAAAAAACTTAATTGTAGTATTTTTGCTTGTTTTCTTTTTGTTTGTATTAGTCACTCAAGGGAGATCTTGCCACATGTCTGACCTCTACTGAGGTGGAGAAGAAATCCTTTGAATCTCAAAAAAAAAGTCTTGCTGCAGAAAATCAGCACTTAAGAGAATCTCTAGAGAAGGAAGAAAAAGCTTTGGCCTCACTTCAGGAAGAATTAAGGAAGCTAAGACAACAGATTAGAAACTTAGAAGATAAAGGTACTAGTACTGAGTCTATTGTAATGGAAAATCAGAAACTAAGGGAACATTTGGAAGAGGAAAAGCAAAGAAACCACAACTTTCTTAGGCAAAAGGAAACACTTTTTGCAGAGGCACAGATGTTAAGGAGAGAACTGGACAAAGAACGTCATGTTACAGAAGCTCTAAAAAAGGAACTGGAACAGTTAAGTTCTCGTCAAACACCTGACAATGCTAATGATGATGATACACTAAGAGAAAATCAAGAAATAGAAACTCTGCGAGGAAGACTAGTAGAACTAGAAAAAAAGCTAAACTTTGAGCAGCAACGCTCTGACTTATGGGAGAAGCTGTATGTTGAGGCAAAAGACCAAACTGAAAAACAGGAACTGAATGAAAAGGGGCAAAAGAAAGGTGCTAAAGGGCAAAGTAAGACTAAAAAGAAATCAAAGGACTCATTTTTTGGTTCAGTTAAAGAAACTTTTGATGCTATGAAAAATTCCACGAAAGAGTTTGTAAGACACCATAAAGAAAAGATTAAACAGGCTAAAGAAGCAGTGAAAGAAAATCTGAAAAAATTCTCTGATTCTGTAAAGTCTACATTCAGACACTTCAAAGATAGCACAAAAAACATCTTTGATGAAAAGGAGAAGAAGTCAAATGATAAAAGACAGGAGGCAAACAAGAAAGCTCGAACTTTTTACCGAGAACATAACTCTTATGAGAATCTGAAGCACATGCATTACAGGGGACCTAACATGCCAAAAGAATTCAAAGATGGAAGAAAACATCAGTTCACAACATTTGAAAAAGATACAGATTCACAGAAATGTTTCAGTGATCCTTTGTGTAACAGAAAACATCCGTTTGTCCTGAAGGGCTGCTCTGGTATTTTTGAATGCGCTCATCAAGAATTCATTAGTCTCTTTAACAGAGTATCGGATCCCATCAGGGTGGATGAATTTAATCGGCTAATGAAAAAGTATTTGCAACAAGTTGTACATAACTTTCATCACTGGAGAGAACTAGAAAACTTCATCAATAAGTTTTTTCATAATGGGGTATTTATACATGACCAGATGCTGTTCACGGATTTTGTTAATGATGTCAAGGATTACCTGGAAGAAATGAAGGAATACCAAAATAATAATGAAAAGGTTTTTGAGGATTTGGACAAATACATCTACAGATACTACTTTCATTATGATAATTCACCCCAGTATGGACCGAGGTTTGTTTCCATGTTTCCTGAACTTGTTAACGCAATGAAGTAGTCTTTGTAAAGAAAACAAGTGTCCTTGTTCTAATAGGTGGTCTGCTAGCATGTATATATGGGCATGTGTTTATCTATACACACATGCTGGAAGACTTTCTGAAGGACTCAATGGAAATACTAGATTGTGTTATATAAAGTGGATCTATAGAACCTTATACGTAAATTTTGTCTCTGTGTAATGTTAGTTTGGGAGGCACTACAGCTCTGCTGTGCAAAGCAGAGTCTAGTATTTCTGCTGAGTTCTTTATAAAACTGTGCAACTCCAAGTAGGATTACTTTAGACTGAATAGCTATGATTGCCTGTCTGATGGAATGAATAACTAACTCAGAAGAAGCATTAACTAGGACTTCCTTGTTGTCCTTCCCTGAATGAGAAGGTTTTTGGATGTATTTAAGCAGTTTCAAAGTCCTGTTCTGGCAGGTATATTCCCTGCTGGCTTTTCAAGAATTTCACTACTCTTGTAGCTTAGTGTAATACTGAGTTAGTTTGTATGCCCAGAGCAGAGCTACTCAAATATCAGGCTTTAGTTTGGATCCTGAGCCAGACTACATTTTGTTGAGTCTAGCTTAAAGGTCCTTGGGATGAATTGTTTCCTGCGTTACTTTCCTGTATCTAAGGTGTTCTCAGGGCTTCTACAGAGCAGTTGTGGTATGCTGCCTGGTTGGCCCAATGGAGCTAGGTGTGGTGGAGTGTTTCTACTGCATAGAATTTGGTCAAAGAAAATTAAGCAAGCAGCCTTAATCTATTGTGTGGAACTTGCTCCTTCTGCAACACTTCAAGTATCTATTTTGTAAATCATTGCTATTACAAAATTGGCTAGATAGTCTCTTGTACTGATGTTTATTCTGATCGGGTAAGAAAAAATGTGATCTACTAAGTAATTTATAATACACAAGAATTGTTCTTGTAGACATAACAGAACTTTTCCCTGTGCTGGTAATCACTGCAAAGCATGTTTAGTATTTAAGTGCAGTTCTTCAGTCAGGTTTCTCTTTTGGACTTGTATTGTTTATTATTTCATTCAGGAAGTCTAAATACTAACCTACTTCAAGGTTACTAAATACTTTGTGAGTTAGTCCTTTCACTTATTAAAAGCTGAACCGTAAGGATGATATTCCTGTTATCAGCTACCACGTAGCCTTTTTGCCAAATACATGATCTAAGTTTTATGTTTTTATTTATAGTCCAAGTACTTACTGATTTATTATTAAAATGAGCTTAAATTTTGAATTGAATACTTAATTTTTGAGTACTTTAATTCAGTTTGCAGAAAAACAGAATTTCAAATTAATTTACTGATAGTATTATGCAGAAGTTTGTATGATACTGAGGATGAAAACAGCCTTAACTTAGCTTAGCAGGCAGCTAGAGACACTAGTCATGTAACAGCATGTAGTATAACGGACTGTCTGCATCAAAAACTGCAGTGAGCGAGCAACAGTGTTTTGTCAGTGCCCCCTCTCTCTATATAGATGTACTTACTGTACATGAAAACCTCTGAAGTGCCTACATTTACACAAAGCATGCTTTCCTAAGGATCTCGAAAGTTTTCACTATTTTTGTAAAGCAGAATGTTATAGAATAACTGAAAAATAGATTTGAGACCTCACTCAAGCATCACAGTAAGGACAATCAAACAGCTGTTTACGTGGCTTTATTCCAAAAAAGAACTTTGGGCAGAGCATTTTTATTTTTAGAAAGGATTTATTTAAAATATACCAACTTATTGATGATTCAAACAGACAAATAATTCCCATCCCCATTTTGCTTGCAAGAGAAAGGACTACTTAATACTAATTTTGCTTTCTTTTCAGTCAGCCTTAGCATGTAAAAGCTGTTCTTGACAATGTAATTGTGTTTCAAAATGCTTTTAGAGAGATGGTTTCCCAAGAGTAGTAATAAGCTTTTGTTTACTCCTTGCAGTCGACCTAAAAGGCCTTCTTTTATGCAAACTGAAAATTCCAGACATGAAAAACAAGCTCAGAAGTACCACCACCGTAATAAAAGAGAAGGTAAATGGCATAAACATGGTCGCACTAATGGAAGACACATGGCAAATCTTGAAATAGAATTGGGGCAATTACCCTTTGATCCAAAATATTAAGTAATTTATGGTAAAAACAAGATTAGAATTAATAATTCACATCCTCTCTGGAAACTAATTGTTTTGTTCAACAAAGCAGCAAGATGCAAGTTTTTTCTTGAAATAATGATTTTTACACTTTTTTGTTAGAAGGCAGAAGTCAAGCTTTCTAATTTGCATACTCTGTACTGTTGCTTTAACTGTTCTTTGGAAGTGATGATAGTTTGGGTGCCAGCAGTATTGTTGCAGAAACTCAGCATGCAATGACATGTATATGAAAAATATGCTTAATTGCATTCCATTAGTATAGTTAAAAGTTTTCATGCATAATGTACCAATAATTAACTCCAGTGTTTGATACACTAATTTCATCTCATCCTTCAAAAAAATAGGTCTACATTATGGTAATATATTTGTTAGTGTTTTGTAATCTTATACTTGCTTCTTGTCTGGGGTGGGGGTTCAAGAGCCTGTTGAATTGTGAAGAATTTGCTGTGCTGCATTCTAATCAGCTTGCTGATTTAAGCACTTGAAATGTCTTGCATATCTGCATATTGTAGAAGAAAAATAAAAGAGACATTGTGGATAAAAAGTCTTTATTTATAAAACAAACCTAGCATAGGTTACAGTTCTATAAAAATGGTCCAGTCTTGTCTAGTTCCTTATTGTTTAAGTAGTCATATGGTAAGTTTGGTCTTCCTGGTATTTTCTAGTGTTGTAAGGTAGGTCAACAACCCCCCCCTGCCATACGGCTACTGAAGTTGCCCTCAGGAAGAGATTTATGTGTTTGCAGACAGCCAATGGCTGCCAAATCAGACTTCCCCATTTGACTTACCCGGTTTCAGACTCACTACTCTCTCCCTTCTGCAGTACAAGATCTTCTAAGCATAGTACTGCTATGCAAAACTGATCTCATTAGGTCTTAAGTCTAGAAACTGATCTTCGCATATGATTCATTTCAGGTTTTTTTCCTGTAGACATAGATGTGGCTTCCAACTCGTCCTTGAGGTACATGAGTATGAAAGACAGTGGCTGTTTTCTCATAGCCCCTTAAAGCTAGAAATGATGATATTTCCTGTAAATGAACATACATTAGTTTCCACAGTCAGAAAGTGTAGTTAGGAGCATCAGACCAGTGTTCCAAAGTCTTCTGCAAATCATCAATATAACTGTCCCCTGGAAGTTTTATCCTTTATTTTAGGAAAGACTGCTAGAAAAAGAGGTACCTATCCTGTTTGATCCTGTCCAACATGGATATTCACCAGACACTGGTTGGTTGAGTACATGGACTTCATAAAAGAATTGAGGGGAAAAGGTACTCTGACTGCAGGCGATTTTGTTTGCCATTGTTGCTTACTTAAGCGTATGGTTCTGGGAGCAGACTGCACATTTGGTTTATTATGGCTTAAGGAGAATTCCATAAAACATTACTTTATGGCATGTAGAATTCGCACAGAGGCCAGGGCATACATGAATGTTGAGTATATATCACTGGAATGGTATCTTATACTATATTATGGTCTAGAAGGTTCAATTTGCATTTAAGCTGTGTTTTAAAATATTGTGGACAACAACTTAAAAAAAAAATCTTAACTATAACTGTCCCTTAATTTACTTTGTAACTTGACCTCAAAACTTAGTTTGTTTCATCTTGCAGTTACTGTACCTGTTCTAACACACTGAAGAAGATCAAGTGACTGGGTAATAACGTATCGTTGTAAAACTCCTTATTAAGCCAGCCAAGTGGGTTAGAGTAAAATACATCTGCTTCATCAATATAGCTCTCATTTCCGGTTAGGTCTGGGGGACACTGAAGGAATCTCATTTTTAGAGGACAGTGAACATGACTAGGGAGAAAAAACAAAACAAACACTTCGGGATAAAGTGACCAGTATCTAAGATTTGAAATTACTCATCACTTAAAGATACCTCAGTCAAAACCAAAACTGAATAATTACTTCCCTCTCCCCAGAATACTATTTTCTTCCCTTCTATACTTCACATGAAAACAAAAGGAGAACAAGGGGATTTGGCTCCACGCTGCTGTGACTCTGTTAGCAGTTCACAGAAAGCAGATTTATCTTAATAAAAATACAATGTGCATAACATCCTTTTCCTAAAATGGTACTTTTTTTATATCAACTTCACTCTTTATTTTGTCTTTAACATTTTGTTTACTTGCCAGGATCTACTGCAAACTTTTCGGAATTGATTTCAGTCAGTGTATGTTGTAATTACATTTCTTTAGTCTCTAGCAGCGGAAGTAGAGGTAAAAAGAATACATTTTGAGTGTAACATAATTAGTCTTCGGTTTTGCTACAGAAGTTATCATAATGAAGCGGTATGAATTACTTTCAGAAGTCATAAGACTTACTGCATATCCACATACAAAGCTATTTTACAAAAACTGAATAAAGCTTAGGTGCTGAGTTTTATTCTGTACTATAAGCATTTGGCTTATTCCCCCTACTCATTCTGTAGTAACTTACGAAAAATCAAAACTCTTCCTGTATACATCTATCCATCTCAATTTATTAAGTTTAGGAAAAAAATCTTAATTTCTGTTTAAGTGTATGGATTTTAATACCTGTAAAATGGAGTAGAGTGGCATGGCATCATCATGAAGACAAAAGCTTGTGACTGGGAGGAGTTCTGACAGAGTTGCTGTATGTGACTCATAACATCAAGAGAGCCTCGCTGGTGAATCAAACCTGTATACAGGGCTGGAAGTAAGTTTGATAAAAGCAGGAAACTTGCTGCAGATTTCTTCCATGCTTTCATGTGTTTCAAAGAATATCCTAGAGAAACATTTGAGTATGTTTTAGAGACAAACAAATATTCACAGTTCCACACAGTATTTTTGAAAGTACCACAACTTGCTGGAAAACTATTACTCAGGTGATAAAAATGAGGTATTTTGAAGTATTTTAATACAGTGTTCTTTCAATCTTTACTCTTTAAATGGAAATTTAAAGGTTAGACTTTTCCCTTCTTAATTCTTGGGTTTAACAGTATAAATGTTAAGCCCATAACTGTCTTTTGAAGTACAAAAGTATGATTTTAAAGACAGCGCTTTGTCTCTTTATAGTTCAATTTTAATTTCTTGTGGGGGAAAAAACACTCCATTCAGTAGTTTGGATGAATGATATGTGGAGACCTACTGATGTGTTCTGATTCACACGTGTCCCAAGTAGAGCCAGAATAAATGGTAACTACATATGCTTTGCTATGGTTGTGGTATTCTTTTTCTCCAACATGCTGAAAGCTACAGCAGTAGCAGTTACAGCTAATAATAGGAAGAGACATTTCTCCTGGTGGGAGACAGCCATATAAACTGGTTTCTCACAAGTACAACTTAGATAAACCTGGCACAGAAGACAGCTTCATGTTGCAACCAGTCTGGAAACCCTTGAGTCATGTGCTTGTCAGTAGTAGGAGATAAAAATATTTTATGCAGCCTAGCTCTGTGACCCCCTTCACTGAATCACAAGAAACAAGTTAGAACAGGCCTCTCGGAAGTCAGTAACAAGAAAGTTAAGTTAGTCTTCAGTTGGTCTGTTCTGACAAATTGCAGATCTTTATCTCAGATGAAAATAAAGTCTACTAATTAGTCTGTGGTTTAAACACTAGTGGAAACATTCTATTATAGGCATTTTGTTACTGCTTTTGTGAAATGCTCTTTAAGTGTGTTTGGAAATGACTTTGAAATTAAACCAGGACAAACTCGTGGCTTTATTTATGCTTGGAGCAATTTAAAGACCTCTTTGTAACCACTGAGTTACCAGAAATAACCTTTGTCATTCTTTATACTAAAGTATCCAAACCGATGATAATTACCTCTTGATAAATTGAGGACATGACCTTATTCACTTATAGACATAACAGTTAAGAGGAATATTAATTAAAAAATAGTGGTCTGATTGGAATTCTTCTGCATGTGAGGTAGAAAGAAGAAAATTAACCCTATCCTAGCAAAAACCAGGACAAACTGGTTCATCTTAAATCTGATATTGAACTGAACATTGAACTAAACCAAGACATATTACATATTTGATTGCAGCAGAGAGCAAAATTATTGAAATAAGATTTATTTTTGTTTAGACTAGCAAAACAGATTAAGGAAAATTAGAGTTTTCATTGATTCATCTGTTCTGAACTTGTATTTAAACAAAAGCTGTACAACTTCCTGTTTCAGAAGTTTTTATCTTTCCTTTGTAACTTTTAGTATACTGGATTTCACACCATGATTTTACTTCTATAGATACACTAGTGTAGTTAATACCTAGTTTTGTAAAATATAAAATACCTCCTTATTAGTCTTTTTTTTTGTGTTTAAAAGAAAAAGTAACACAAAACATGAAAAAAGATAAATTAATACTTTTAAAAGTTTCTGTTAAAGTATCAGAAAAATCTTAGTTAGCAAAAGCAATGTTTTCCAGTTTAAAGTGTGGACAGATTCTCTTTAATTAATTTTTAAGTTAACCACATTAGTTTATGGACCTTATTCCTGTTTTAACAAATTCACCTTACTATGCCTGAAGGAAAAAGCTATCACATTAACTGCTCTTAAACGTCTGTGGGAAGTAGCCTCCAGCTGGTGGTTGGTCCAGAGCAGACAGAAAACTAGCATCATCTACTAGCACCAACATCTGCATCTAGAAAAGGATGATTTTTAGGTTTTGATTACTTTACTTTTTTTTGTTGCATACTCAAAGGCATTTGTCAAGCATATTTGAGAGAAGCAGGTGGAAAAATACTACGAAGTAGCCAAGGAGCAATATTAACTGTAAGGGTGGCATTGCTAAAAAGTTAGGAGGTGCTGAGGCAATTTTCATATTTTTTGCAAGAAGTACTCTTATCCATGCTAAGGATTTTCCATATATATTTTAGTCACTTGCTATTCCTCACCCTTTTCTCTCCCGCCCCTGCTCCTCGCTGTAAGAAAAGCTTACGCTAGTTCTAAGCATCCTTTGTCAAATACCTACACTGAGTATTAACAGTCTCTCTTACAGTAAAATTTATATACAGGGAAGGTTGCAAGACATTTGAAATCAATGCTTACCACAAAAAACCATGCAAAATGGTAGTATGGGATAGATGAACCTGAATTCTTTATGGCTCAGTGTGCTGTAATAAAACAGATATATTACTACAGTAAGAAAGTTAAATGTATCAGTTCTGTTGACAAAATGTTTTACAGCATGGAGGACTAGAAGAAAAAATACTGCATATACTAAACAATTTTGGCACTGAAGCAATTTAGAGTAAAAATGCAAATTGTCACTTTTTAAGAACATAATGAGTACATTCAAATTAAAATTATTTGGTCAGTTTAAACCAAGCACTAATAAAAGTACCTGGCTACTACTCTAGCAATTAAGTGGCCTGATTCTATGACTACTAAATATAACTTAGGTAGTACTTCACCGATTTGCTTTCTGTAATAAAACGCAATAAAAAAGTGTGGATGGTAAGCTAAGGTTCAGGTACATATTTGTATCTAAGAAAGTAACGCTCACCTCTGCTAATACAACTTTACATAATTTCCCATGCCAACTTTTGGGGCTTTTTTTCAGGATTACTGCAAGACTTCTGTCATGGGAATCAAACAGGTTCTTACAAGACTAAGGGAGACAAAAAAGGCCTAAAATCCATAGAGCTACATCCAGTTTTGAGTTGGACTCAAAGGGAAAGAAGGGATGGCATTTGTGGCCTCACTGTTTTGTGTTACTGTAGTCCAATACCATTTATTTTTTAGTATTTAGTAATTTGCTGTATCTTTTCTTGCCTGAAAGTGTGTTTCTGGTTTAATCTACAGTTAATTCTGATGCTTTAGAAACAGCTTACTTTTTCTTCTACTTCTCAACTTAAAATGAGACTATGATAAATGTTAGGAGCTGTGTATAGTCTTGTCAAGGGAGTAAGTTTTATAGACCTAGGAACCTCTCATCTTACATTTGGTATTAAAAAACCAAATGAAATGGCATTTTCATTAACAGGCATCTGGTAAACAACACAGTTTGCTAACTAATGCCTCTCGTCTTACTGGGGATGTATTAAAAAACCAAATGAAATGGTATTTTCATTAACAGGCATCTGGTAAACAACACAGTTTGCTAACTAATTGTGTTGTTGCTTAAACGTCTGTTAGGTGATCGGTTTTTTTCATTTTCCATTGAATTTCATGCTGAATTATTTTATTCTTTGAGGGTCTAATCAATTCTAAAAACACATATTTGGTAGCAATACAAGTAGTAATATCACATACAATTCTAGAAACCATTGTATAATTGACTGCATTTCTTGGAGTATTTGAAGTTTAAAGTTTTCTGTCACTCAAGCTGAATACTATGCTTTTGGTTCTAGAGAGGACATGAGCTTTGAAAAGAACACAACCAATGAAAGATAGTAGTTACGCTTAGGAGGAATTACCTGTATACCAACACTGTCCAAATCACTGCCCCTAGAAAGGTGCGATACCTTTTCGGTGCCAGCACGCAGCCATGAATAAAGAAAGGCAGATGAGTACCCAAGACGACTGGTAGTCCCTGAGTGAAGTACCAATGCCAAGGATGAGATCCGTAAAATGTTCCCAAATTCTGCAGCACGTTGAACTTCAAGAAGTTTAGCTGAACCAGTACCCACTGGGAGATTTAGGGGAGGGGATTTAGGAGAGGAGGGGACAAAAAGTTAAATTACAAAGTGAAAACCAACAGCTGAATTGAACTACACAGTCATCACTGTCCTTAAATATACAGCTTCTTCATTTGTACTTTTGGTTTTTTTCTTTAAGACTCATCACAGACTTCCTATATTTAGCAATTAAACACAGAAGTGTGTAAGTTTTGTCATTTGTTGATAACTATTGATTTCTTGATAGCTGAGCATATTGATTTTACGTAACAGTCTGTCACTTAAAATAACTGAGAAGTCGGTGTTTAAGGGTTTATGGCTTAGGATGTATTTAGATATCATAGGCCAGACACAGTCACAGAAATAACAGAAGTTAGAGAAGTCTGAAATGTCCGACCACGTTAAAATGCTAAACGGCAACCTTTTTCTTGTAAGTCAAGTTTAAAGAAACTTACCTCACCAAAAAACACACGGTCAATTATTAAAGAGGTTCCTACTGTGACCAATCTGCAAAAACGGAAAGTTGGTTGCACTGATATTGCCTGAATTGCTTTTGTATCAGATTCTGCTCTGCTCCAAATAGCTGTCAAAACGCCCTGAACAGTTATTCATAATGTTTTTTGAGCTTATCCGTACTCATCGCCATTTTACAGTCACCAGCTGCCATCACCCTGTATCCTCAGCACAATCCCAGATTAAGCTGGAATGCTGTTCATATCTCATCCTCATCTCTCCTGGTGCTTTTTTGCAGCATATACATTGATTTAAAGGAAGCATGCCCCTTTTTTAAACTTTTGCAAGAGGACTCTAGTTTTAGATGAAGTAAGCTTTTTTGGGTTGTCCGCCTTTGTGGTGGTAAAATCAATCTTAAAATATAGCTACGCACAGTTGTAGTTTAAGTTCAGAAATAACTTACCCAACTGGAATGCAGTTGTGGAGGATAAGGTCAGCTTTCTTCTGTTCTTGCAGAAAATGACTGAAGACCAAAGGTATCCATGGGATAATAGCGGTGGGACGAATAACAATTGCAAGTGCTACCAAAGCTAAATATTTGCAACTAGAATGAGGTAACATAAGAAAACCAGAAGTTTATCAAAAGTCTTGGTCAATTTTTTTGCAGACAGTGACATTTCAACAATTTAAATACTGTTATGTCTCTGATAACTTTGAGTCTCTCAGTGCAGATACTGTTTTGCTTGGAAGGCTGCCAACTATGTCATTGCTTTATTAGCAGTGGAGTTGCTAACTAGAAGCACGCACTTGCTTTAAAATAGAGAGCTGGTAAAGAAAGTTGTGACTACAAATTCACCTATGTCTGAACTCAAACAAGCTTTTGTTATCCTTCCCCAAGCTACCACAAATTCTAGTCCTTTAAAGTTTAAATTCAAGTTTCCTATAAAGTGATACTTTGCATAAGGGAACTGGAGAACAGTAGTTTTATACACCAGCTATATCATGGCTTAAAAAAAAATTTTATAATTAATATCACAATGCTGTTGCTTCTAAGATTTGGCATGGAGCTCTTGCTACATGAATGAGGTGGTTTTAGTTGCTTTATATTTTAACATAAAAGTTAGTATTTTAAACAGTATCAGTAGATAAGATATTATCCCAAGCCAAAAATGATAACTACTGTTAGTAGAAAGTCTCTCACCTGCTCCCCATCTTGGAACCTTTTATCGGATAGTAGGAAAGAGCAAAAATGGTAAGAAGAGTTTCCATGGTGTTTGTTAGAGTTCTGGTACAGGAATACCATGTAAACCAGGAACACAGCTGGCAGAAGTACTGAAAATAATTATGAACAACAGGATGCACAGGGAGAAACGTTAAAACAAATTCTTAAGTTTTAAATGAAGGTGATAATTCTTCAAGGTGTGACTTAGTATCATGTTGCTGTTGTTTAGACTGCAACAGACAGTGTTTACTAACACGCATAAAATTTTTTTAAAGGCTGAGACTCACCACACACTTTGCTGTTTCTGCATTTTCAAGGTGTCGCACTAAAGAATAAAGCTTCACATCAGCAAAAGCTGCCAGCACTGCCTGTGCAAGTCTAGGGACCCATATCTATGTAAACAGAGAAAATTTTACTTGCAACGAGCTGTTAAATTGCAAGTTTGAACAGAGGACTACTGAATTAGTGAGTGACTCTTCAGACATGAAAATAGTAAGTGAATTAGACTATTCTCTATAGCTTTTTATGTTTTGGGGTTTTTTTTAAAAGTAAGGCCCTTTGGTAAGGCTAATATGTCTGCCAAAACAAAGAAACTCCAAAGTTCCACTGAAAGTGTTCAGAAATTGAAAGTAGAATTCTTTGCCATTCATTTCCCAATACAAGTCAAAAGGGGGCTACTGTTACTGAGTTTAGTACAAATACATCTTATTAAACATTTTGGAAAACTGAACCACTGATCAATTATGATGTAGTGGCAAACAGTATCAGTGTGAAATTGAAGGAGATTGCTAAGAGGCCAAGAATAATCCTCCACAGTCAGGGGCATCAGTACTGTGGCTGGAGATCTACGAGTTCTGCACTCATGTAAAACACTTCAGTGAGGTCTCTGTGCTCATATATTTCTAATTGCCAGATTCAAGGCTTTGTAATTTACCTGGACAATGATAAAAATACAATTTATTTTTTTTTAAATACAGTGCATTTAAGGACAATGCCTCTGAATTGAATTTTAGTAGCGGACCTGTTATGTGAGTCTACTCACCAGCAGCTGAACATCATCCTTAGCCAGCAGCTGTAAAGCTTTGTAGATGCTTGCGAAGATGAGTGGGTACGAATAGCCCCTCAAGCCATTTGCCCATTCCCAGGTCAGGTGGCCATAATTACTGATATTAAGGACAGACCACGAACAGCTGAATCAGGAAGTTCCTGTGCGGGCGGCGTTGTCCGGGCCGAGACATCGACCCTTGTGGCCAAAAGCCCTGCGGCTTGTGTCAGTGGCCAGGCTAAGGCCTGGCTGCCGCGGAAAGCTGCGCCCGAGCGCTC